TAAATTCATACATAAAATGAGCCTCAGTATGAGTCATATTGGACTCTTATTGGCCTCATATACGGCTCATTTTTGGCCTCATATATGAATCATATCAGACTCTTTTTGGGGCTCTTATCGGCCTCATAAATTACTATGTACCTTCGGACTCTTATTTTACGTTGTTCTTTGAGTCTTATTGAACGCACTATATTTGCAAAGGCATTCAGCAAAAATTCCTTTCAGATAACATACATACATTCTTACGTACACATTCCAACATTTTTTTGTTTTCTAATTATTTTAAATTTCTGTATAAACAAGTATAGATATAAATTTCAAATCTTTATTGTTTTTATATTGGCACAAGGTGCTGGCTCATAACTTGGATCATATATGAATCCTAAAAGAATTTTTTGTTTTTGAAACTCATATTTTTTACCTACCTAGGACTCCTTCCGGGCTCATATATTCTGAACGCTCAGAATATGTTTGCGGGGAAAAATATGAAGTTACTAATGAAGAAAATCGATGAATAAATAAAGTAATGAGTGGTCATTTTCATTTGATGCAAAGATTTTTTGTATGAAATGTGAGCATAAAAGCGTGTTACTTAGGTGCACATGGCGTATGAGTAACATTATTTCCTGCTGATTTCTGATACAAAAAATCTTTGCGCATTTTCATTTGACCACTCATTACTTCTTTATTTATCCATCGATTTGCTTCATTAGTAACTTTATTTGTTTGTAACAGAACAGGCTTTAGCAAAACTGCAAAAATTTTACACAGAACCTGTTAGTTTTTCTAATTTTTCTCCTGTTCAAATTTGATTTTTGTATTTTTTTCATAAAAAAAACTGCAATGATTACTTTATTTGTCAGAAACTATCAGTCCTATCGGAAATGTATAGACGGTTTATGGAAAATTTTGTTAGCTTTCATTTGTCGTATTCCATTTTCCATTTTCCAATTGGTTCATGAGATATAGGCGACTAAGTGGAACCACATATTGTGAATGAAACGAAATTAAATGAAATGAAAAATAACGGTAAATTTAAAATATCTCGAAAATGTGTCCATAGAATAAAAAATTAACTCGATTTTTGGAATCAGCGGGCGATTCTAAATACAAATTGGATAGTGGCGTCTGGAGAACGCAAACCAAATTCAAATTTGTGAACCAGTGTATTTGAACCTTTCTGTGACTTAACTATTAATCTCATAATATTTCTTACTTTTAAATCCAATAGTGCATTTTAATAAAAGCGATGCATAAGGATAACATTAATATTTTCGATGACAGTTTAGTATTGAATATAAACCCTCGATATGTACAAATGTTTATAAATATGAGCACAAATGCAAATAAATATATTTTCAACGAAATATTTCTGTTTCTTTCAAATTTGAGTATTGAGGTAAATATGCAGCTCAGTCATTGTGAAACAGTCTCGGAAAAAAATAAAGTACACATTTTATTTATTTAATTCCACAAACCCATTTTCAATCTCAAGCTTTTGGAAATTCTATAAGACATTTCATAAACAGCCATCTTGTTCGCAAATAAATCTTCATCTGCATAAGACCTTCCTTTTTTGCGATTTGCAATTGGCGCCAGTACGCTGCAGCGTACTTCATTCAATTTATACACAAACATTCATATTTATATCAATACTAGCTTATAACCGCGGGTTTCACCCCGCGCTTTTATGCAAATATGAAAAATAATTTAATAATGTTAGATTTTATTTCTGTGCCCATTTCGTTATAGCTCGTTATTTTTTAAGCGAGTTAAGGTATTTAGGCCGTTTAAAACTATGAAATTATAAAATCTCGTCTGCGCGCTAGGCATACGAAGATATCAATCCCTCTAAGTTTACCTTAAAATGGTTCCAGGTATACGACGCGTAAACATGTAACCTTCTTGGAAGTGCCACGGCGGGTTCTAATATTTCCAACTCAAATTTAGTAACCTGGCCTTGATAAAATACCACTTCTCATTACAGTAGCAAATGCCTCAAGAGAGCTTTAGATTATAAGGCAGAGCCCGGCTCTCCCTTTTCCATTAAATGAAATTTTTTCTATCAGTACGGCACTTATAAAATAAACCTCCATAACAAATTTAAAATACTTCCAAAGATTTTCTATCCTTCCAGAGATATGTATTAAGAAATTTTTAGTATCCATGGGAGGCGACATGCCTCCTTTTTTAATAACTCACATTTTTTCCATGAGCAATTGAAACATTTTGTATACACAACTCCATACCAAGTTCCAGTATTCTTCCACAAACACTTCCAGAGGGTCAATTTGCACAGAAAGTGCCACGCCCCTTTTTCTTATAACCCTAAACTTCTTTCATGAATTTAGAATTGATTTTACATACCCCAGTACCAAGTCCCAGTACTCTACCATGAACACTGAGAATGGAATTAATTTTGTATACACATCTCGGTGCCAAGTTCCAGTCTTCTGCAATAAACACCTCCAGAGATATGCAGAATAGAAAAATCAATTTGCATGGGAGTTGCCACACCACCTTTTCCAATAACTCTCATTTTTCTCCATGAGTATGGTATTAGTTTCACATACATACATACATATGTATTTCCATACCAAGCTTGAGTGCTTTACCCCAAACATTTGAAGAGATATGCAATATGAAACTTTCAGTCAGTATGGGAGGTGCTACTCCTCTTTACCAAAAACGTCCATTTTTCTCCGTGAATATGAACATGATTTCACACAGTGTTGGCAAACTGTTAATCTGATTAACGATTAAAAATTAACGATTAAAATGTTAATCGCGTTCGACGATTAAAATTAATTAGTCGTAATCAACTGTACGATTAATGATAAAATTTTTTTAATCGTTAATCGCTGGCTGCGATTACGGTTAATTAATTTAAAACATTAATCGTTAATCCAATTAAAAATAAAATCTGATTAATTTGTCTAGTTTGTCCGAGTTTGAAACCAAACACCAGTTATTATAATTATTTTGTGTTTTACGCTTATAAAAACAACATAATAAAAAAAATTATAATTATTGCTATTAGTAATACATAAACTGGGAACTTTTACAAACCTAGTTTGTAAAACGTTTGTTGGTATATATCTTAATGAAAATGCACACCAAATTGCTTAGATGGATAAGGAAACCCGACTTAGCCATACCGGATTAACTTGGTTTGTGTGCACAGGGAAATTCCAGCATAACTTAATTAATCACCAAACCTACTTGATCAAATTAAGAGTTAATGATTAAAAATTAATTTTTTAATCGCGGTTACGATTAACTGTTTAGTCAGTTTAAAATTAATCATGATTAACTGTAATCAGATTGAATTTAATCGAATTAACTAACTGATTAAAACATCAATCGATTAATGCCAACATTGATTTCACATAGATATCACTATACCAAGTTTCAGTTCTCTCCCACAAATACTTCCAGAGATATGTATGTAATATGAAAATTCCAATTTGTATGGGAGGGGCCTTGAGTTATCGGACTTACTTGCAGTCTAAGACCATCCTTCCGAAATCCGTAGTAAGTGTACTAAATTTCGTTCTGATCGGAAAACCGGTTAAAGAAGTAGCCTGTTTTTCAATCCAGGTCATAAACCATCTTTGAGCAAAATTTCATTTTCAAACAGGTGGCAATTCTTAAAAAAGTAGCCTATTTTCCAGTCTAGGTCATAAGCTATCTGTGTGCAAACTTTCATGCAAATCAGTTCAGTCATTTACGCGTATTAATTTAATTATACTTTCCTTATACGTGATAACTCTTAAAATAGTAGCCTATTTTCCAACATAGGTCATAAGCTATCTCTGTGCGAAATGTAATGCAAATCTGTTCAGTCGTTTCCGCGTATTAATTTAATTAAAACTTTTTTAACAGGTGGCAACTCTTCCAAAAAATTAGCCTATTTTCCACTGTAGGTCATAAGCTATCTGCTTGCAAAATTTCATGCAAATCCGTTCAGACTTTTCCGCGTATTAATTTAATTAGACTTTTTTAGCAGGTGGTAACTCTTAAACAAAGTAGCCTATTTTTCAACCTAGGTCATAAGCTATCTGTGTGAAAACTTCCATGCAAATCAGTTCACTCATTTCCACGTATTAATTAAATTAAACATTTCTAACAGGTGGCAACTCTTAAAAAAAGTAGCCTACTTTCTAACCTAGGTCATAATATATCTGTGTGCAAAATTTCATGCAAATCCGTTTGCTCGTTTCCGCGTATTAATTTAATTAAACTTTTCTAACAGGTGGCAACTCTTCCAAAAAATAAAGCTTTTTTCTACTGTAGGTCATAAGCTATCTGCTTGCAAAATTTCATGTAAATCTATACAATCGTTTCCGCGTTTTAATTTAATTAAACTTTTTTAACAGGTGGCAACTCTTAAGAAAATTAGCCTATTTTCCACTGTAGATCATAAGCTATCTGAGTGCAAATTTTCATGCAAATCCATTCAGTCGTTCCCGCATATTAAATAAATTAAACTTTTTTAACAGGTGGCAACTCTTAAAAAAAATAGCCTATTAACCAATCTGGCCCATAAGCTATCTGCGTACAAAATTTCATGCAAATCCGTTCAGTCGTTTCCGCGTGATGATTTCCCAAACATCCAAACATACAAACTTTCACATTTATAATATTAGTAAGATCATTTAAATATGGGAAAGCACAACTTTACCACCAAAATGTAAACAAACGGAAAAAAGTGTAAACAAAGCACATTGTTGTGACAACTATGAAAAAAAAACAATTGTTTCTTAGACAGATAAACTCGATACAGTACACACATAGATTTCTTATCATGGTTGGTCTCGTTAATAAACAATCAATGAATCGCAAATCTAAATAACTTGTTTTCAGTAAATAATTAAAATAACTTTACATGGTTCAAATTAAAAAACATATGCACAATAAGTTTCTAATTTATTAATATTTCATTACATTTAAATTTATTATACATATGTATTTTTCTATATTGTTATATTGAAACTCACGCCCTTTTTTCGATCTCGCAATCAATTCACCAATACTTGGTCCTGGTATTGTTGCTGCGAATCGTTTCAATCGTAAAAATTGAATAATACTCGGAAGGTAGCGCATAAAAAGCGCCCATAGGGCGAAAGCAACTAACGCTAACGCATTCATTTGTGCACTATCGTTTTATCCACTTATCACAATCAAATAAAATACTACGCGATACTGTAACTGCCACAGAAGGCAGCTAAATTGAAACTGAATCGTCCAAATGGCTTTCTTAGTAGGGCGCTCTAAAAGCCGCATTGCAAGTGCAATAGAAATGATAAACATGCTTTGCTCTCTTTTCTATGTACATATGTATGTACAAACATACATATGTATTTTTTCTATCGCGAGTACGGTTGCCACTTACTTCTTTTATTGTATAGCAAAATGTAAAAAATTTACCAAACTATGGTTTAGCCATAGATTTTATTATTCTAATCTTTTACAAATTCATATTCAGTTGGTATTCAATCATGTTATTCGATATGTTTTGGCCTATCGAAATTTGAGCGAATATCTGATTGGAAGTCGCGATTATTAGGTTGCAGTATCTCCGAATACTTAAAAGCAATAAATTGTATTTTCCTATTTCGCATAATGGTGGAGGAAGAACATAGACATCTATAACAAAAATTATGCTTCCCAGACAGTGATCGGACTTCTACCACATTGTGGTAGATCTGTCACTTTTTTGAGCATCTACCACACAAGGTCTGAAATCTACCACATATTCGCGTTTTTGAGTAGCTTTATTTTTGCTCGACATAATTTTCTTAATTTTAAGAGCAAAAATTGTCCAACACTGAACACTAACAACAGGCAAAATGAGAGGAGAAAATAAACCGTTAAATTTTCTCAATATTCAATTTTTCGACAGGAAACATGGTTTTATTGTGTTAAATTGCAAAATATATGATTTATAAAAAAGAATTAATAGCGAAAATGTTAAAAAACAGCGATTTTTGTGAAAATATTAGAAAATTTCAGTGCATCTAAAGTTTCTAAAGAGTTGTTTACTTTTACTTGAGGATTGTCAAAATCGGCAAATCCTACGTAGCGGTTTCTGGAACATGTCACATTTGTCCGCTACATTGTGATGTGATAAAAAGAAAAGCTGGCAGCACTCCGCAAGGTTGCAGAAATCTTTCAAAATATGTTCGAAAAATATCTTTACACTGTCAAGGCAAAAAATTGCCAAAACTCAACGGCATTTTTAGCAACTTCAATCTTGCACTTTATTATACTAAAATTAATTGTTTTTTAGATTATAATTAAAATGTTTGCAATTTAGGTGAAACCTTACAGAATATTTTTAATTTTTGTACAAAGTTTGATCCAAAACCTGAGATCTACCACATTTTTTTGAAATCTACCACATTTTTTTCCAGATTCTACCACAGAAATTTTTTTTCAAGTCCGATCACTGTTCCTAGAGTCTGCACGCCATACTGACCTGATTATACCCAATTACAATCATCTAACATCTGCAATGGAGTGCAATGGGGTATAGTCGTTGTGCTGGGTATGCAGTTACAGTTGCACGGCTATACTCAATCCCGACTCTTGCGTCCTCGTTCTCGCACTCTCGGAAACATGAGAAACCCATGTGCTAGAAGCGGTAATCAATCCGAGTGGAGCCTTGGGTCACGGCGGAAAGAGAGGGAGGTTCAGTGGGGCCACTCCGACTTATTCGGTTTAAGGGCTCACTGTGAAACCATCCCCGCCCCAGCAATGGGTTGTGCGCTGGGTTTGGGACCCGCCACGTATAAACAGGCTCCAATCAAAAATGATGACAAAGCCTCGGATGAGAACCCCGCTTTTGATGACGACCACGGCAAACGTTTAGAGGACTACGATTTGAGGGCATGCACCAGGAATGTCCGGACCCTTAATGGGGAAGGTGGCTCTGCCCGGCTGGTTGACGTCCTCGGAAGGACAAAAGCTGACATCACTTACATTCAAGAAATGCATTGGACGGGGCAAGGCAAAGAATGTATGGGGCCTTGCGACGTTTACTAACCTTCCATGTAAAGGAGCCCAAATTCGGTGTTGGATTTGTGGTGGGAGAGAGACTCCGTCACCGATTACTGTCGTTCACCCCTGTGGCCGAGCGTCTAGCCACAATCCGCGTCAAAGTAAGATTCTTCCATCTCGCTAATCGGCGTCCATGCCATGACGAAAGTCAAGGACGAGGCGTCCAAGAATCTTTTCTATGAGCGCTTGGAGGTCACGTACGAGCGCTGCCCGCGCCATGATATCAAACTCGTGCTTGGCGACTTCAGGGCCAGGGTGGACAAAGGACTGAGACTGATCGACTTTGCCGGGTCCCGAAGCATGGTAGTATGCAGTACAAGGTTCAAGCATAAAAGCTACGTGGTTGTCTCTCCAGATCGAAAAACGGGAAACCAAATCGCCTCTGTGCAAAAATGCAAGGAAAGCTTAACGTCGAAAGGCTGCAATCACAACAGGCGGCTAATGCATTCGCTACTCGCCTCTCACACCTGCTCTCAGAGAGTATTCTTCAACAAACCGACATATGTGAGCTATGGAACAACATCTCCCATTCATTAAGTACCGCCGCCGAAGAAGTAGTCGGATTTCAGCGAGCCCGAAAGAACAACTGGTACGATGAGGAGTGTAGCGAAGCTGCAGAGAAAAAATATGCCACCTATAGGGCCACGCTGCGATCGGGCGCAACGCGAGCCATGTGGGACCGTTACAGGGAGCTGAAGAGTGAAGCGAAATGTATTTGCCGTATTAAGAAGAGAGAGGCCGAAATATGTGAGTGTGAAGAGCTTGGAATGCTGGCCGACAGGAAAAACGCCCGAAAATTTTACCAGAGAAGGTTTTCAGGCCAGGGCGAACTCTTGTAAAAACAACAATGACGACCTAGTAGTACTGATGTCCAGAACATACTTAAATTGTGGAGGGAACACTTAACCACCCTACTGAATGGTAGCACCTCTTAAAGTTGCGTAGAAGACACCCCGGTCGATGATGACAGAGTCGATGTCCCACCACCTGACTATGAAAAACAACAAAGCTGCTGGAGCTAACAACCTGCCAGCTGAGCTAAATATTCAAGTACGGCGGCGAGGAATTGATAAGGTGCTTGATGCATGCAGAAATATGATCAGATGAACGCATGCCCGACGACTGTAATTTAAGAGTGCTCTGCCCATTCCACAAGAAAGGCGACCCCGCCATTCGCGCCAACTACCGCGGGGTCAGCCTTCTAAGCATAGGTTACTAGGTTTTTTCGAGTGTATTGTGTGAAAGACTGAAGCCGAACAGATTGGGCCTTATAAGTGTGGCTTTAGACCTGGCAAATCCACCATAGACCAGGTATTCACAATACGCCAAATCTTGGAAAAGACCCTGCTTTCGACAGCACTAAAAGGAGTTGCCTGTACGCCGCGATGTCTGAATTTGGCATCCCCGCGAAACTGATACGGCTATGTAAAATGACGTTGAGCAATACCACCAGCTCCGCCAGAATTGGGAAAGACCTCTCCGAGCCGTTTCCTACCAAACGGGGCTTCAGGCAGGGCGCTCTCTTTCATGCGGGTTATTTAATGTGATGTTGGCGAAGATAATAAGAGCTGCAGATCTGAACTCAGCAATAATCTACTGCAAGAGCGTGCAATTGCTGGAGTACGCCGATGACATCGACATCATCGATAAGAAGAACCACGAAGCATGTTCTGTCTTTTCCAAGTTGGATAAGGACGCAAAGCGAATGGGTCGGCGGTCAACGAGGACAAGACGAAGTATTTAGTGTAATCAAACAAACAGTCAGCGCATTCGCGCCTTGGCATCCGCGTCACTGTTGATAGTTATACAGGCATGTTCTGCAAATCGTACGATTTCAAATCGGTGCGATTTACAAAATCTCTTTCGGAGGATTTATAACAAAGAGGGAAAAATTTGGCACTAAATCAATGGATATAACGTAAATGATGTGTTTCCAGCAGTTTCCATTTGAAACATTTAATACATTGATTACAAATATACAACAATACTTTGCAAATCGCACCGATTTGAAATCCTACGATTTGCAGAATATGCCTGATAAATTCGAGAAAGTAGGGAATATATATATACTTGGGAACCAACATAAACACCGATAATAATGTCAGGATTGAAATCCAAAGAAGAATCACTCTTGCCAACAAGTGCTACTTTGGACTGAGTAGGCAATTGAGGAGTAAAGTCCTCTCTCGCCGTAAGAAAACCACACTCTATAAGTCACTTATCATACCTGTGTTGGTGTATGGCGCCGAAGCATATACAATGTCAACATCCGATGAGGCGGCTCTTGGAGTATTCGAGAGAAAGATTTTTGGAGGCCCCCACTGCGCTGCCAAGTGGAGAAGGACTTGGCTTCAAATGTGCTGACACATGTTCCAAATGTGAGCCAAAGCGGGCCAGCCGTTTAGTAGTTTAGTGACATTCAATGTACCGAAAACTTTATCAAATTTCGAAATCGTGACGTCGCAACAACAACAAAAAGTTTTGATTTTTTTTGCTTCGAAAAACGTTCCACACAGAAGGTCCAAAATAGTACTTTTCACAAAATCAAAATCGGTTCAGTCGTTTGGTCAGGCATCGCCGTCATACGAAAGACATTTCATTTATATATATATAGAAGAAAGAAAGAAGATAATTAATAATTAATAATATTTGAGGGTATAAAAGCGATGTATATAGATCTACTAGCGGACCCGACGAAGTTCGCCCCGCCCAAAATATATTTTATTATTGGAACATTTTGGTACAACAATTTAACCAAACAATTCCGCTTATAGTTCCATGGTCATAAGAAAGCATAACTTCCATTAGCGTCTAAAATAGCCTACCAAAACCGTTATGTCTAGGGTGAAGTTTTTGCAATTCTCCAATGATTTGGCTTCTAATAGCACGGTTTAATGCCTCTTTGGTAAATTGTTACCAAAATTGGTAGAAAAATTTTGGGTTGGTAAAAAGGTAAACTTTTTCTCATTTTGGTAGATTTTTGCTGAAGTAATTTGTTTGAAAAACAATTAAAACTTTTCGTTCCCGCTTTATTTTTATACCCGAGCGCACTTGTGCACTTGTGATATTTACAATAATTTTTACACGCAAAATAAGAACATTGTTAATTTTTGGAAAATAGGCGTAGCCACGCCCACTTATGTACATCTTGGTAACCGCTCCACCAATTTCTCCCAA